GTGATCATAACGGCCTCCACAACCCGGGCAGCACATACATTCCAACATGTGCTCTCCAGGCAAAAGGGATTCTTACCGGGTCTCCCATCTGCCCCTTGACTCCCATGCCAGGATTGCCCTGAGAAAGAAAAAACTAAATTAATTGAGTTGCTTTTGAATATTAAAGAAATAATTATAAGTAAGACTTCCGGTCAAGCAATTTTTTGAAGTTCACTTATTAAATACATTGGGAAGTCTAGTGAGAGGAAAGACATCATCCCGACAGACATCAGTGGTCGTTAGTCTCACTGTACCTGGGTCCTATTTGTATATTTTCCTCGTGGCTGCCTACCTTCACACCCGGACTCCCAGGATGGCCCCGAGGTCCCTAAATCAATGGCAAAAACACACAAATCACAGATCAGTTGCAGAAACCAGAATGTGTCTTTGTTGGTTGTCCCAATTCCTCTTTAGGAAACCCTTAATTGAAAAACACCCATGGGCTTCCTATTACGGGGGGGAGGCTTGTTATACCCACCCCCCAGAGGGGCCCATGCTTCTCCATGGACTCACACAGGTAAGGAGTGGGCGTGTACTGATTCATCAGGTGATGTCCTCTCAAAGAGCCCACCTGTACCTGACCCAAGATGGGAACTTGGCTTTTAGAGGGGCAGAATGAGCAGGGCTGTACTTACCGGTAACCCCGGCTCTCCTGGGGATCCCATTGGGCCTGCTGGTCCTCTAGCACCCCTTGATCCCTAAACATGAGAAAAATCGGGGCATTTTTTACCAAAATCCATAATCATCATTCACAGCAAGAGCAGCATGTAATCCCAGGTGTATACAAACTTCCAAAGAAGTCACAGTCCCAACACATCTGCCTGCTAGAGCAGCTATCTTCCTAGCAGCTCTGCCTGGGATGTAGGGCACAGAGCTGCGTGGGCCAATCGCTTCGGCAGATGTGACAAATTCCTATGTTAGGCTCAAATTAAACACCAGAAACCAATCTACTTACTTACAGATAAATTTTGTAGTAGCATAGGTAGAGAACAAAGAAACTTGTTATAGCTA